ACAGAATTATCGTCAATTGGAACCACTCAAAATGTTCTTTTAAGTTCTTTTAGTGGAATAAGCAAAAACCATAATTTAAAACAACCTTGAAACACTCGTTTTAGCGATAAAAATTATGCATGCAGTCGACGAATTATTGAGATTTAAATGTTTCAATTTTGATAGTCAGTCTGTGTTCTGTTCATATACAGCTTGGTACTCATTCAAGGGATCATAAAAAATATAAACATAACAATGTCAACTAGGTATACATACTGCATACACCTATATTTATAATTTATATGTATGGATCAGTTTTTTTAATATTAGAAAAATACAAAAATATTGCTACATATAAACTTTAAACGTTAAAATTTATTACTCAAAATAGCTCAAAAATTCGGTTAAGTGGTGTGTATTACAAATTGTTGGCATTTGTAATTACTCATTTTAAATTATGCCTCAACAGCGACGTCCATTGATAAACACCACTGCAGTTGTACGATTTCGCTTCACCTTCCCTCTACGGTAATATTAAGTACCATTGAAAATATAGCTTGAAGTGTATGACTCATCGTCTCGTTTATATCAGAGTAATAAAGTCAAGTTTTTCAGCAATTTATTGCAACCAACGAGTATTGTTTACCTCTTAAAATCTATTAGACTGCTCCAGGTAGGTGTATTAGTAAATACTGTGTTTGTATATTAGAAGTGCTTTATGTGTACGTGAAAGTAATTTTTTTTAAAAGTTTTTACAAATATATATATATGTAACAACAATGTGGGTACAAGATAGTATTATAAACAAAAAGGTGCACAATATAAAATGTACATACTTGATCATTTCTAACTCTATTAATCTAATCAAAAATTAATTTGTAATATTGTTCTATAAATCTCTAGTTTTCATTTCAGCAAAAACCAGTAGATATTATTCTTATACCAATATTACAACGAGTAATAAAACCTTGAACATTAAATTCGATTAAAAATGAAATATCGTTAAATTGATCTCACTATCGATTAGCCACTAAATTGTACAACACGTTTTATCATTGATAACAAGAATCTATCATGTTCAGTTAGATAACAGTAACACGATAAATTAAAATAATAATGAACTAGTTGATTATTCTTTAAATTTTGCACTTTCGTCAAGTTCACAAACTAAAATTGTATAGTATTATAATTTTAAGTTATAACTGTATTAATTATACTAAACTGTACTAATTATAACTGTATTAATTATGACTGTATATGAGCACATATCGTTAAGGAAAATTCGAGAAAATAATATATAATCGTAACATTTATTATAATATGGAGATATTTTTCATAATGTAATACCATTGACATAAATGAATATAATAGTGACCTTATAGACTATAATATTATATAGTATCAACAATTCTTAAAACAAAGGACCTTTATAATAACTAAAATTAATTAAAAAGATTTGGAAATTATGGAAATGTCAAATATAATAATATAATGCAGTAGAAATCTAAAGAGCTATGGTACTGCTGTAGTAATACACAATATTATACATAGCTCTCAGTGAAATATCGATTTAAACAATAAAATATATTGGTCCGGACGAATCGCAGAAAACAATCCAAAGTATAAAAGTTAATACTTGTAGGATGCTTAGAATGAAGCAATGCTAAAATAATAGCAATCCTTTTTTAGATATGTAATAATTCAATGAAATTCTAAAATACAACGAATTTACAAATAATAAAATAGGTAATGCGTAATTGCGTAAATGAATCAATGACACAATATAAAAGCGTGATGACTGATGAGTGTTGTAACGGGGACGTTAAATTTAATTAAATATAAACAATTTATAGGAATAAGAATATATAGGCACCTTTTATAAAATAATATACCAAACTTAATATTTTATTTTATTATTACAATTATTAATATTATCATTCAGAAAGCGTAAAAAAAATTAATTGTTGTTCTGAGAATTTGCTTTATATAGTAAGGGGAAATATTTACAGAGATATTTCCAAACACCGGTCGTCTACACAGATATATTGTAAAATTATAAATATAAGTTATAACTGTTTAATCCACAGTTAAAAGAAGAGTTAAAACTTAAAATAACATACTGCATATTGATTTAATAATCATTTATTATAAAATGTATCAGTCCCCTGAATGTCACTATACCTTACTGTCACTAAAATGTAACTAACCAACCAATAGAAAATGTAGTTTGTAATTTGGAAAATAAAACAGGTTTTATAATATTTAACAGTCCTATGTATATTTGCGGGTGGTAAACATTCTTTGCAAATTCATAATATTTCGAACGTTTAAATGTTTACTTTTAAAATCAATAAATCTTAACTTTTAATAAATGTCATTGAATTAGTTTTTAGTTAATAATGTGGATAGTTGAAAAACAAAGCCAGGCTAATAAATAGTTTTATTAAACATATTCCTTTAAATTGTTTATACTTTTAAACGTGAAACTTAATGTTTCTAACCTTTCATGCACAGTTAATTGACACGGTTATCATAAGAATTTAAAATCGTAATATGTTCAGGGATATTAAATGACTGGGGACAGCGATAGTTCTTTACCAAAGAATAGAATGGACTAAAAATCAAACTTTTAATTGAAAAATAATCGCCCATTAACTAAACATACCTCGGTGTCGATTGATGAGTGTGTCATAATGACTACGCAACTACTTCCATGAAAACTCCCAATATAATAAAAAATAACGATAAATCGATAAATTACTTTCTGGCTAAAACACGTGACTCAAACAAACCAGTTTATAACAGTCGTATTATTGTGCTACTGTATGCCCGGTGTAAAATAAAATATTCGCAATGGGAAGACCTCGTCGTCAAGTAGATGTGAAAGCTTCAGCGATACCGTTCAGAAAGGTCGCGGTAGCGTCTCCTCGTTGGTCGGTGTAATACAATTTATATCAAAGGACAATAACAGTGGGACCTCACAGCTGAATACAAACAAGGTGACATGCCGTTGGTATCGGAGTAAGTAATAATAATAAAAAAATATACACTATATAGGGCAGATCGACCGCTGCAACGAAAACATAATATTTAACTATATACGGAGAGTTGAGTGACCGGGGTCTCACGTAGCTCTACATATTATTATAATAAGAATAATGATAATACAAATAAGATACCTAATAATATATAATATGAATAATAGTCGCACAATAGATATTCAACACGTGTGCGAGTTTAGTATTTTTTGAAGATAATGGAAATTTCTTTGTGTCCCTCAAACAATGCAATCGTATCTGTTGGGTATATCATTGGGCTTGAGCGTAAATCTCGGCCACGGAAGTGGGTAAAACTCATCAATAAAATTCCAATGGCTTAACAATAATTGGGAAAATTTATAAAAAAAAATCTACAGTTTTGATATTGAATCAATAGTTATACTTATACATTTGTAGTAGCGGCTAGAAGAGCTTTAGACCGTGTATCTTCTAAATTCTATTAACGTCACGCATGTTCTCGACGGGGATTATCAAATTTGAATGTGAAAACGTGGGTTTGAAAAAGTGGAGCAGATGATACGCGGCGAAATTGCGCGTCAACACTTGTCGACATACAGGTGGTGCACAAACACTGGTAATATAATAATTGATAAATAGTGTGATTATTGGCCAGTGTCTATATTATAATAAGTAATGACGGAACAACTGCAAACCGATTGAAATATATAACACACGTTCACATATGGCAAGAACAAACAACACTGTGCAAAGTATCCGACAAGTGACGAGAGTGTTATTATACTGATGTGTTGGGCACGACATTGACGACAATGATATTACAATAGACTGAACGCCAAAAAAAAGAGACAAACTACAATTCAACTTAACTTGGTTACATAGACGACAAGATACGATAATTTATAATAGTTGTAACAATATCGTCATCGTCGTCATATCTATCTACCGACGGATGATAAAAAGGGTAGAAAGAACATTAATAAAACTAATGAAAAAAACTGACGAGTTTCTCACGGATTATAATTATTATCATTCCATCTGGAATTTAAAAAAATATAAAGGTAGGTATACAACGTGTTATTATATTTATACACGCGAGTGTGTACCCCTAGTGATACACCGGGCGTGTGTCGCTCTTTTTTTCGTTGCTAAAAGGGGAAGAATAAACTCGTGCGGATCGGCAGGGAAAAATATAAGATAATATTATTATAACCGTTCTCGTACGACGTACAATATGTATTAACTCTGTTCGAATAATCACTCCGGAGTTCACGGCTTCCGCGGCTCGAGTGTGTCTTATCTACGCCGATTTCCTGCACAATTTGTTGATTCATTCCGACCAGCGCAAAAACAAGATAATTATTGTTGAAGTACCTAGCGAGCGTATATTGATTGTTATGAAAATATAACCAAACGAGAGAGTTTACACGTGTGCACAACACTACGCGATTGCATCCGTCGGTCGGAATATTATTACCGCGGACGCCGATTAGGTGGTTAATTAATTTAGCGACAATACCATATTACATGCGGTCGTCAGCGAAAGAATTCGATAACGAGACGTTTAAAAAATAATATACATATTATAAACCGACCACCTCGACCGTATTGTATCAAGGTTGATTTATATACATGATATTATATTATAATGTGTCCACCTTGGTGGCCCGAGGTTTAAAATAAGGATAATTGTTATTTCCAATCAATGATGGGAATAAGTGAATAACATAATTTTTTCGGAACGATTTCAACGACAACATAATAATAATATTTTATACGATCGCGGTGTGTCGACGAATCGCACGTGACACGCCTAATGTAAGGGTGTGACCTTTAAACACTGATAGCTCTGGGGGGGAGGGTGCTAACCCGCGTGATCTCTACGGATCGGGAAAACAACACCCTACCACCCACCCAAAAGACCATTACTCAAACCTAACCCCACGCAACAAAATAAGTGGTGGGGCGCCCGCCCGGGGAAGACTACAACAAGAAAAGGCTTGCCTTGGTGCCGAGCACAGGTTTGGGCGCGGTGACTGGTGGCGGCGGTCCAGCCGGAGACGACTGGTGGTGCTGCTGGTGATCGTCAGACGCTGCCGTGGTGGCGGTGGATGAAGGCGGCGGAGGTCCGCCCTGTTCGAAAATCCGCTGACGCTGGGCCAGGCGTTCCATGCTGGCCAAACGGTACGCGGCCGCTGCGCTCGGCGTGTACGACTTGGGCAACGTCGGCAGGGGCGTCGGTTTGGCTACTCCGCCGCCGTTGACGCCGTCGCCGCCGCTTTCGCCGTTTATCATAATAATATTAGTATTTCCCCACGTGAGTCAGCGACGACGACGACGAGAAATTAATTATTTTCAAACGAGAACACTTGCGTTCCCGCAAACAACTGACGAGCGCGAAACACGAGTAGTATGCGACACTCGGCACACCGTACTGGAAACGCGCCACCCGCAACACGGGGGGTAGAAGTCCCACCGAATGCGTAGTCGGTGTCGTTAACGTCGTTGTCGACGGTGCGTCGTCGAACGTGTGCGCGGCGCGAATGCGTTCTCTTAACTGCGCCGGCCGCGGATCGCTCGGTGCCCGCCGCCCGGTGGGTATGAAGTCGGCGGTGGCGGCCACAGTCGCGAGCGCGCGCGCGCGCTTGGGGACGGCGGGATTTTGATGCCGGCGCGAGCCAGATGCCCCGTCGACGACACAGTGTTGCCACACGGTAGGCGCGGCGCGACGTCTTCGTGAATAGAGCGCACGTCATATTTTTTCCGAAAATCATGTTATTATATTATTTACGATGATGACTATATTATATCGCAAAAAAATAAATACACAAATACCATATCCGTTCGCACGTCACGTTCGGGGCATTTATAAATTAAAATATATTATGTACACTTTAACTGCAGGTGACTATAATATAAAGAATTAATATATTTTGCAGAAATGAATGTTAACACGACGGTAAACCATCGCCTTTTTGGTGTTTTGAATCAATCGTGATAAAAAAACATCGACAGGTTCCGACTTCCCACACATGTTATTTCATTAAAATAATAATTTAATATGCGTATAGTATAATATGCAGTCGAAAACTCTGTATGGATTAATTTTGTATACCTATTCAAATGTGTTATAATACCTACATTTTTTAAAAAGGTATTATTTTTATGAATAAGAATGGTAAAAATTCTGTATGCTTGTGTCCAAAATATTTGTATTATTCCTATAATATAATATGTACAATATTGTACATTCTACATACTTACAAATAAATTATACGTAATTTATCAAGAAATCGATAAATAATTCTATAGAAATATAATTCGCAAGATTTAAAAACTCACTTAGTTATTAAAATCAATTTTATAAAATAAAAAAATACCAATATTATGCACTATTTATTTTTGATAGTTATTTTTAAGAATATAACTCCAATGTACAAAGAACCAACAATAGAAGAACTTTCTTACCTAAAACTTTGCTACAGGAAACCTTTGGAGCACTTCATTATTCTAAAAAAAATGGTAAAAATGTATTGCTAATTAAATTAATTTAACATTTCACTGTAGGCTCAAAATCCAAATGACAAATAAACATATACAAGTTGGGATTTTAAAAAACATAAGCACAAGCGCAAGAATCGGTAAAAATTATGTTGCTATGTACAATAATTATTATTATACGAGACATTTGAATAGAACTGCCAATTAGGAAAAACGTACTCTCGAAGGAAACGATTGTATTTTACACATAATGTAATGCAATCCGCCAATCGAGAAAACGATAAATCAACACCACTGCAATAACGGATTATTTTCTGTTAAGAAAGTATACCATGTCCGTATGTCGTAAGAGATGATACAAGTAAAAAATTAAAAGTATAGATAGTATACTGGGAAATGTAAGGCTTCGATCGATCTAATAAAGAAATTCCCATGGGTCAATAATTTGTACTAGCTACAAGTTGTAACAAGAACCTACGAGCCATATATGTCAACATGTAGATACGATATACATAAAAATATAGAATGCATGTCTCAAACCAGAGAGGATATAAATTTATAAATTTATAAATATATTATTGTTGTAGAAAATGACTTGATTTTACCAAATATAAATTATAAGCATTCGATAATGTAATTACTATAGCAATGAATATTCTGCGAAAGTCGCTTAATAACAATAATAATCTAAGGAATAATAAATAATAAATGCAGATGACATATTTAAAATAAAGCAAATGATTGGTTTGAGAATGCTAGAAAGTAATGTTGAAAAATAAAAATTCTATACATAAGTACTTCAAATCGTTAATTCTTTCAAGTTAACTATACATTAATAGTTTTAATTATTACAAATTTAACTATTCTTTAATGTTTGATTTAACTACACACAAATAACCTTTCATACAATTGATTTTTTTTTATCATACACTTGGCAATTTAGCAATCCAAGTATACGTAATATTTAATCAACAGTAACAAATTATAAGTAAATCTTTTACTTAAAAAAAGAAAATCGACATAACATTTTACAGTTTACAGAAATATTTACCTATACGGCTATACTTAAGCATTAGTCTAAAACTATTTTTTTAAATTAGTTAATACGATAACAGAAAAAAATTGAAAAGACATTCCTAAAATCACAATAATTCAAATAACGTACGTCGAATAATAATATAATCCACAATTAAAATTAAATAAACAAATTTCAATATCAATGTTTTTAATAATTTCATAATATAATGGGTAATTTAAATCGTTTTTCTAAATGTCCTAAAAAAATGCTTTCCAAGCACAAAATTTGTTTCATACATTAATGAACTATAAAATGAAAATTATTTTTTGCAGTTTTGTAAATTTTGTAGTAATCAATAAAATGTGTTAAAAATTAAATAAAATTATTCCCCAACAAGTAACGAAAAAAATTAATATTTTATAAACGCATTAATTCATACATCAATCATTAATATTTAATGAATTTGTCTTGTTGTTTAAAACATTTAAATCCACGCCCTAATAATAAGTATAAAACCAATAACAATATGCTATTATAAAACATTGAACATTACAAGTATTAACAAAAGTTGGGCCATATTTTCATGTGGTTAGAAGTGTGAAGTTTCTTAACACTTATCTCGCTCCTCCTCCATCTCCTCTAAGACTTGTAGGAGAGCGGGAGTACATATTATTTTAACTACAAAATACAATTGTTAGATTAATTTTACGATTGTTTTAAATAATGATTGTACTAATCTACGGTTATTACAGCTGACATTTTCATTAAATTTGTCTTTATGTTTAGCAAACACTATGCGTCAATGCATAATCCACTTATGTTCAATTATAACATTAATTGTAGTGAATTGTGTTCACTTATCAACATTATTTTCTATGATTTCCAAATTACGTAGATTGATTTATATTTAAATCAATACAATACGTTTAAAGTCAATGTTTCAAAAATAATTTTTATATTCAAGTTAAAAATATATGTTTTATTGAGTTATTATTAAACTGTAAAACTATTGTTACTAATATATTCCAATGTAAATTGTAATGTTTATAACTTTAGCACAACCCCGTATTTTTGAAAATAAACAAATAATAATCTCTATACATAATTATTGAGTAAATCATAGTAAATCGGGAGTACATATTATTTTAACTACAAAATACAATTGTTAGATTAATTATACGATTGTTTTAAATAATGATTGTACTAATCTACGGTTATTACAGCTGACATTTTCATTAAATTTGTCTTTATGTTTAGCAAACATTATGCGTCAATGCATAATCCACTCATGTTCAATTATAACATTAATTGTAGTGAATTGTGTTCACTTATCAACATTATTTTCTATGATTTCCAAATTACGTAGATTGATTTATATTTAAATCAATACAATACGTTTAAAGTCAATGTTTCAAAAATAATTTTTATATTCAAGTTAAAAATGTATGTTTTATTGAGTTATTATTAAACTGTAAAACTATTGTTACTAATATATTCCAATGTAAATTGTAATGTTTATAACTTTAGCACAACCCCGTATTTTTGAAAATAAACAAATAATAATCTCCATACATAATTATTAAGTAAATCATTCTACTAGATTAACTTGAATATAAAAATATTTACTAGGTAGTATGCATATAAATATTATTTAAAGTTGTTTCCGTAGTTCATAATACCTAATTAATTCGATTCATTCAATAGATTCACCTGCCAAATACCAATTTTATCAAATATTTAAGTAGATAGTATATTCAAGTATGCTGTACATATGAGTGAGTTGTGAATAAATTATGCGCATCTTCTTACTTTGTCACGGTCACCTGTAAGAAAATGAGCATCGATAATACACACCGCACAACACTAATCACTTAAGTGTAAAAAAAATGAAAATACTTGAAAACGTCGACGCAAAAACGGATAGACCAGGAATTGAACAAAGTGACACGACGGACGCAGAGAAGAGTTGAAGACGACTGACCAACGAAAATGTTACGGTTACCCGCTGGACGACAGCCGTCATCTCGACCAAGCTTACGCTGTCGGTTTGGTCGGGTTTATATTATATACCACGCCTACACGGCTGGCGACCATTAAGTACTCGAGTAACCACAGTATTTTCCGTCGGTCAGCCTTGGGAATAATATTTTCCTTATTTCGGCATCATCCGATTTTCAACGGTTCTTGACCGTTTTCACGTCGCCGTGCTAATGCATATTATACCGAGGGGTAGAGCATAAACATATTGAAAAAATGTATTTATTTATTAATTATTCATTGATTTTTTTAGTCTACACCAGGCGTGTACGCAAAAAAATATTTTACGGGGGGTTTTAACTACTTTTTATCCATTTAATCCATTTTCCCATGTTTAATCTATAAAAACTTTCATGTCAATCTAAATTTCAGAAACATTCCTAAAATTTGGGTGAACCCCTAACCCCCCTTCCCCTTGCGTATGCTCCTGGTCTACAGGGTAGAACGACGAAATTCCGGTGATGATTATATCGTTTTCTGATGATTACACCAACACAAGAGCCGGAGCCAAAATAATACTCGCATTAGTCCCCCCCTTATATATTTAACCTTTTACTATATAATTCATAACCTCGTAAGTCATAGGTCCCTCGTATATAATATATAGGAATATCTGGAATTCCACACGCCTCTACGACAGTTATTTATTATATATTAAATTAATTTCCTCCCTCCAAATAAATAAGTAGGGATATAGGGACGTATAAATAAGTGAGTTGAATAAAGTAATATCATAATA